CGTAGCCATCATACATTAAGTCCTCCTAAATGAAAATATTTTTAAAATGGCGGCACTTCCGCTTATACCGGAAGTCGGTCTTAACTTTCTTATTTTAAATAGAAAGGTATATTTTTTTGGATTAGTCGGGTTATTTTAAGGGAGCTTTTATCAGCTTTCCCTATACCTAAATTTAGCCATTTTTGAAATATTTGGAGTTTTTCAAAAAAAAATTTTACAATTTAAAAATCGGTAACTCTGCCATTTTTTTAAATTTTGGATTTGTTTTTTTGGCGTTTGAAAGAGAAGGCTTTGATTTTTCTTCTAAGAGTTTTCAAATTTTGAAAAAAAAATTTTAAAACCCCAAAATTTTAAGGTTACTTTAGTAATAATTTAGATATTCATAACTCAAATGTTCTAAATGAAATTCCCCAATTTTTATTTTACTAAACGGAAGAGAATTTATACAATTAGAATTTTCTTCAGTTTGCACTAGTTTATCATTTATAAAGAAAAAAACCGCCTACTTTAATTATAAATTCAAATGATCGGTAGAACCTATCAATAACAATTAAGTTTGAGTGATTTTGATTCTCCATATTTTGGCACTATTTATCAAATAGTAATTTACTGTTGACGTTTGTTTAGAGGAAATTTTGACATTTTTGATTTCCATAGCAAACTATTTAGTAAAATAAAAATTGGGGTATTTCATTTAGAAAAATTGAGTTATGGGTATTTGAATTATTACAAAAATAATTTGTGGTTTGTTAATTTTTTTGCAAAATTTGAAAACACCAAAGAAAAGATCTAAGCTTTTTCTTTCAAACACCAAAAAAACAAATCCGAAGTTTAAAAAAATGGCAGAGTTACCGATTTTTAAAGTGGAAGGTGCAGATCCAAAAATTTTTAAAAAACTCTAAATATTTCAAAAACGGCTAAATTTAGGTATAGAGAAAGCTGATGAAAACGCCCTTAAAATAACTCGATTAATCCAAAAAAGCAGTAAAAAAATACCTTTCTATTTAAAATAAGAAAGTTGAGACCAACTTCCGGTATAAACGGAAGTACCGCCATCTTGAAAATATTTTCATTTAGGAGGACTTAATGAATTATGACTATGTAGCAATTTTCAGATAAATACAATTATTGAACTCTCAATACTTCTAATGTGGGGTTTAAACGGAACACCCTATATAAGGTAATATTTGTAACATATCATGGTGACAAAGGCCATAACGGAAAACTTCTGGCGGTAACTTCTACCCTTGTCTAATAATAGATGTCAATAATTTATTGGTAAATCAATTTTTTCGAAAACAAGAAAAAATTACGTATGGACCCTTCCATCCCTCACACTTAATTAATTATTCCTACCTGGATTTTTCATTTCAAAGGCCCATTAATAAATTTAATGGTCCTGATGATAAAGGATAATGCGAATTAGCTTCTCTCATTATCGCTATATTTTATTCGGGGAGGTACAATGTCGGTGATAAATTTCTTTGATTTTGGAAGTTGGTAATTATGCAAAAGAGATTTTGGGTGATTGGTATGATCTTGGAGAGCAGCTGTGACGTATAATAAACCCTTAGCAGCTGTGATTTGGCGATTTGCCGTTTCTTACCCTAAGACACCCCAGCAGCTTTCTCTCAAGAAGTTTGGGGTGCAGTGGCATATGTGCAACAGCGTTAATCAAACGCTTTGTTGTGCCGTTTGGCACGCGCTCTTTCCTAATTTAAATCACTTCGAAATCTCCATGACCAGTATAGAGGTTAAAGCCCTTTTATAACTGAAGCTTTTGTTGAATGAATGAACTTCGGAAATTGGGAGGAGACTGAATTTGCCGCCAACTGGAAATGTGGGTGGTGGAGTCGTTACCCCTTCATGTTTTAATATTTATAGCCGCAAATAAAGATTAAATTACCGTTCATTTTCAACATAATCCATCAATGAGACGGCATTTTTTGACACGTACGTAAGTGGGCAGTTGGGCACCAATTTAGAATATTACTTCACTGTGCTGAAGTGCTGAACTCTATGTTTATTTTTAGTTTCGAAAAAATTCAAGAAAAATATTTACTAACAGATTTCCGTAAAAGGCCAAGCTGCAATTACTATTTTTAGAGGCTTTTATGTGATGATCTGCATTCGTTTACTCTTTCAATCACCAAGTGAATAAACAGTCGTAAATTTCAAATATTAATAAGATTTATTCTAAATATAAAACACTTCTCTTGCACTGAATTACAAATTTACATTTCTTCTAACCGTTTTAAGTACCTACTGGAAGATGAAATCATTAACATACTTTCCTAAAGAACAAATAAAAAAACAAACAAAAAATAGATCTAGATGCAAGCACGATATACCTACCCATGAACAGAGGAGGTAATTGTACTTGTGCATAAATAATGAACTCAGAGAGTGTGTAAAATTGGCCCAACGGTCGCACCAAAAAAAACTACCTTATTTTTTAGCAATACTTAAAGAATAAGCAAACAATAATAATAAAGAATAATAACAAAACGTAAATAACCCTGCTTGTGTTTCAAACTAAAGAGTCTACTACAAGGCGACCTCTGTTAGCGGGGAGCCTCAATTTTATCATCAACTACAGGAACCTCTAAAAAGTTATTTGATATTATTTTTATTAAATCCTTAGTTATAACTAATATGCGTTCATTAAAAAAACTTGCAGAGAAATTAAGTTTTTTGTAGGAAAAATTCTAAAATTAAAATAAAAATTTTGTTGTTCGTTGCATAAAAGTTAATTCCATTATCTAGAATTTCTATAAAAGTAATAATTGTAACATACCTACAGTTAATTTTGGATTTTTTTTTATAAATTTATAATAGAACACAAATTTTTGAAATTTTGGGAACCAAAAACGATCCCATTTTTTGTGTAAATTGTAGCAAAACTGTACCTCAAGTTCTGTAACACCTTATAGTAGTTAAAAAAATAAATAAAAAAATTGCTCTTTATAAAACAATTTTTTATTTCATTATATTTTTTAACAAATACCAAATACTTTTGAAAATGAACAATAACCAAAAATGGCAAATATTGACAGTTTGAACATTTGACAGTAAAAAAATTAATTAAAGTTCATTCTTAAAAACACAATTTTTATTAATACAATGAAAGAAGCCAATTTTTAAAACAAAAATTTTTCTTGTTGAAAAATATAAGACGTGTTCTGATTGGTTGATTTTAAAAGTCGTAATTGATTGGTTAACGATCACAAATTCACAAATGTGTCTAACCAATCAAATGAAAATTATGCAAAAGCCTCACCGATTGGTCATAAAAAACTATAAGTTAGATAAAAGACTATTTGTCAATTTTTTTTCTCATTGGGCTCCAAAAAAAAAAACAACGTAGATTAGTTTTTTTATCAATTTAAAAAAAATACAAATTTGAATTTTTTTCCTCAATTGGCTTTGAAAAATCCATTTTTTTTTAAATTTAGTACAAAAAAATTGCGCTTTGAAAAGTGTGTTCTTAGTTGGCGATAAAAAATTACTACTACTAGCAAATTGAGAATATTTAGACAATAATTTAAATTTAATTATTCATTGGACAATAAAAATTTGAAATTATAAATTGTTTTAGTGATAAAAAAAATTAATTTAAATTTTTCTTCATTGGTTTTGAAAAAAACGATTTCACAAATTTCTAATTTTTAGTTTTTTCTTCGGTGCTTGTTACTTAACCGTTGAATRCGGTTTAGAAAAAAMCCCTCTAGTGACTAATAGAAATATGAAAGGCTGGTATATCACAAAAGAACGAAGAAATGTGTAGCGCCACCCAGTGTGCCAGAAACYCATTACTTTGCAGTATAGTTCAAACTTAAACAAAAAATCCTTTTATTGTAAAAATCAATCCCAGTTACTACAAACTCTGGTGGAGAATAATGGAATTATTATATTAAAAATGTATAGTTTTCATACAGTGGTTCTCGACTGTAATTTTAGTCGATAACACAGTCTACTACTTTTTAATCTATTAACGAAGAGGTTTAGGTTTCAAGACCAGAGATGGCAGACACTAAACAATATTAAAATCTTAGTTTTTATAAATCTCATCTTGAAAACAATAATATTGATATAGAAAAATGCCTACCGATTCTGGGGAATGAGTGAATACTCGCAATGCAGCTAAAAAAAAGTGTGAAATCTTATTTTTTTAAATTTTGTCTTTAACAACTCTATTATTTACTAAATATTATCCGGTAGAGCATAACAGGAAAAAAAGCCAATAGTAAATAATATTAATATTACACCGTTTATTAAGTTCATATATTTTAAAAGTCACACAAAAATGTATTTATACAATTTGATGAAAATATTGATTTTTCTGRYTYGAGTCAATAAAAAAAATCAGCAAGTTTTGAGAATTGAGTAGTTGAACCGCTAATAAAGAGAATCGATGTGAGAGTTTCAGTCACATATCTCATCCGCCTTTTTGTTCCCCTTGAAGCTGACCCTTGTTTGCAGTACCACTGTACAGCCACTAACCTCATTATGACCAATCAACGAGCAGAAAGCTTGTAATTGCTCGTGACAAGCGGACCCACATTAATCCAATATATCGTAAACCAATAATACAACACTACTGTCGTTTCGTATTATCATCTATCAAGAAATATTGGATATATCTTCAAACGTCTAGGTTTGTTAGCCACTTTCCTTCTTCTCCACTTTATCAATAATTATGTCAAATGTCATAAAAGCAAAACACAAACTACGTGTATAGTTTTATATTTAATATAACACTGTTTACTTGTACAAATAAATTTACACGTTATTTCTGTACAGATTTTATAAATCTTAGACTTAGAGTTATAAATATAGTTTCTTATAGAAAAATCCAGCGTAATTAATCTTCGAAACACTTCAACATTTTAGAATCTTTGAATTCCTAAACAAATTCATAAAGCGATGAAAAAGAATACATCGATTTGTGATCTAAATTAAAAAGTATATACATGATTGTATCCCTTTTCCCTCCGAAATTATGTCGACTTTTCCGTTGTTAATCCCAAAGCTTCGGCATGTTTCCTTGCTTTTAATCTTAAATCAGCGATGCTCGAGTTCTTATGAGCCGCCGCCAAGGCAGCAAACCCCAACGGATATTGGGGGTGGCAAAGGATGCTTGCAGGACCACCGCCCACAGCCACAGCGGCAGCGGCGTACTGAAAACAAACAAACAAACAACCGTAACTAAAACGTCATTATTTTTGCAACTCTCGTTAACGATTTATTTTCATTATCAAATTACCTGATGAGCGGCCGTGATAAACGCCGGATCAAAAGCTGAAAATGCTGTTCCGGGTTGCGAAAATGTGGCAGAGGACAAACGGTCGTAATTTGATAAAGCCACTGATCCCGGAGTCAAAGTTAGGCCCCGCAGAGCAGGCACGTTCATGTAGGGGACCACGCGGCAAGGCTCCAAAGGGGTGCTCGAAGACGGACTGTGATTGTTCATCATCATTCCTGAATAAAATTCAAAAGCTTATTCTAACAAAAATCAAAAACAAGTTTCGATTTTACCAATAATTAGAAAAAAATACTGGAAACTGATATTTTGAAAACGTTTTCTAGAAAGTATAAGAGGTCGCGGCTTCGCCGCTTGCCCCCGTCTAGGGCTTACACTACCTGTTTTGGAAATATTTTAAATAATTATAGAACTATAGAAACACTATCAGATTTTCTCAAATTTTAAACCTCACGCTACCAGATTTTGACAAAACTTTTGTCTAAAAGTCTAGTCTAAAAAGTCTAGTCTAAACCTCACACTATCAGATTTTGTTAAATTTTAAATGGGAAGCTCGCGGCTTTGCCGCTCGGATCCGCTTAAACCTCACATTATCAGATTTTGTCAAATTTTAAATCTCGCTCGCCTCCTTCTAAACCTCACACTATATGATTTACAAATATTTTATTTTTGGACAAAGAATTTTGGTGGTTGTAGCTAATTTGGTGTATTTTGCTTAGATTAAAAAAAATGAACAGTTTAACACTTTCACCTCATCTGCTTTTATGTATGTCGAAAAACAAATTTTTTCAATTTTGGGAAAATACTAGAAACTGATAATCAAATCCGGTCGGATTTGAAAATGTTTTGTCGAAATTAGGGCTCACATTACCAGTTTTGCAAATATTTTAAATAATTATAAAACTCACACT